TTAAAGCCCTGACAGCGGTCACACAGAGGCTAGGCCTGAAGGTTTTGTTTCGAATGTTTGCCGGTTTCACCTTGTCAGAGAAGACACTAGTCTCACCAGCCATGACCCACAATAGCTCTACAGGCTTATTTGTTCGTTTAAAGGCTACTACAGTATGGCCTTTGTTGCTTTCGTATTCAAATACTAAGAACCGAAGAGTTACGTTGAGTTTGTTATGACACGGCAGAAGCTGAGGGGGGAGGGGTGGTCGTTGTCGTTGTTTCCAAAGTTTTTCCAGTTGACACCTGGTCTGGTGCACCATCGGCCGTGGTTGAACTCCGTCAGTCATGTGCGCAGAGGTAGGAAAAAGAGCCGCTGTTAGACGAAATCAAGGTCGTTAGTTTTTCGGGAAAAAGCCGACAGTTAGTGTAAAAGGCGAAAATGCACCAGCTTACTAGTCGCTTGTTCTTACCGTTAACCCACCTGACTGTTATAATCGGGCCTTGGAAACTTTGTGCACGTTTAGAAAAGATGTTGAGTTACAGCGCATTTCACTCGAAAAAGAATGCATCCAACTCTTTGTTCTTCGAATGGACACAGAGATCTTGTGCTCATGTCTGTGTTTACAGTCTCCTAACTGGTCTCTGTTTAACTTCTCACGAACAATCTCTTACACAAAGGCTGATCCAGTGGCCGTATTTTTGCTCTTAACAGGGCTATTAGGCTTAAAATAGCAGATTACTTCATCGACATGGACGGAATGACTAGTTATGCAAATATTTCCATGCCTAATTTGAGAAGTTAATTTGGCAAACATATGTTTTCAGCAAACCATCATCAGACCTAAACATTTGCAGGGTAATGAAAACTGTACAGTTGGACAGGGTTAAATAGTGTCGTCTAATTATAATTCAGCGTTTACGCGTCGCCCGCATGGCCAGGTCGGCGTGTAGAGGTTCCTGTGCTGGAGGGGGTAGGGATAGGGGAGGTAATTGGGTTAGGTTGTGGGAGTTGATCAGAGGGCAGATACATAGAGTGATAATTTCTGCTATTTGCGCGCAGCGAACGACTGTCACTGAGGGATGGGGGGAAAATGCGATCACCATCTGGCATCGGGGTCGGCCACGGAAGTACAAGGGCTTCTATCAGCTTCTTCTGATAACAGCACTAGATTTGCTAGCCGTATATCCACTGCTTCAGCTGTTGCAAGCACCCATTGGCGTAGGTCCTTGGAAAAGTTGGCTGGTGTCCGGTAGACAGCCTGAAAAGCTTCGTAAGTATCGGCTCGATGGTTCGTATCGACAAGATGTGCGAGAAAAGAACTCGAGATTGATCTAGTTTAACCTTTACCCACGAGGTGGTATATGCTTCACGTACCCTCTTTTCCAGGCGCCTCGTTGTTCGGCCGATGTATCCTGCTCCAGAGGAGCGAGTGAAAGAGTAAATACACATGGATGTGGCCCGCAACGGGAATCGGTCTTTACCTCCCATCCTTACCCTGCAAATATTTTGGCCTGACGATGATTTGCTGAAAAATGTGTTTGCCATTTTGAATGACTTGTTTTAAGAGGCTTTGTCAGAGCTCTGCCCAGCTTAAGCTCAATTCCCAATATAGGATGCTTTACTTCGAAACAAATTGGATGGCAACTCTTAGATATCGACATACCAAACCGCAGGCAGTTGCTGCTCACGTATCTTAATAAACGGTCTGAATTGGCTTAACTGTTTTACCTGATCCTGGATACATAATAGGAGAAAGGAATGGCAGATTGGCACGAGGTTGTGAACTAGATTTACGGTAGATTAACTATATGGTGAAATTTCAACCAAATTTCTGGCGTATGTCCTCGAAACGAAGAACATTACATAAAGTAAAGTCAAAATATTTGTTAAGAGGCAGCCTAATTCCAAGATATTTAATTAAGTTTTGGACCCCGGCTTTTGAACGACGTATTTTACGGCTGCCTTAAAAATCAGTAGCATAAAAAAGTGCTTAAGAAGTAGGCATTTTACTGAATGGTCTATAGGAGTTAAGTCTAAGACGTTTAACCCTGACACTTACAATCTTCGAGGCCCGGTTCCTTAGGATATTGGAGAAGTCTTGGGAAGGC